TGAAATGCCATCATGTTCCGCTACATATAAGTCGATGCACGAGAGCGATGGAATTGCCTTTCGTAGTGAACGACACCGTAGCCACAACAACAGTAATGACCTTTCAAGGCAACTAAAGAGGCGAAGAACAACAAGTCGTAGATGGGAGAAGTCGTAGTGAATCCCCCAAAGGAGTGGGGGGAATGTACATGGCCGGAGGTAGGGAAGGGGGATGGGACGCATGTTCGGTGAGCACCAAATGTATTATAGCTGCTTTTGTGGAGCGGAAGCAGTGCTATAGAAGATACCAACCTGTGGACAAAATGCTCAAGTAATCAACTTAAAATATTAATAGTTGAAATGGTAAGAACGCAGTTGACTAAGTTGAGATGTAATGATAATGGCCCCTTATCCTTTCTTATCAATTGATAAGATTGTCTGTCACCCGTCATTAGTTTCCTATCACTAAAGCTCTATAATTTGGTAGTGTAAAGGCCCCAACACTTTGACTGAACAACAACGGCAACGCTCCTTATCAGCCCATATCAGCTGTTATCACCTCCTGTCACCCGTCGTCGATGTTCTCATTCCCACTCTATATCATTTTCTGAAATCAACGCCTAGCTGATGCTGTGTCCCGCGTTATAAGTATGGTGACCTTCCCATTCTAACTCCTTATCAAATCTTATCAGCTGCTAGCACTTTTTGTCACCCACCAATAATAATCGTATGCCATAGCCTACACCATACCTTGGAACTAACGTCCTACTCATGCTGTGACCCGCGCTATGGACTCGGTGCCCCTCCCCTTCTGACGCCTCTTATCAGATCTTATCAACTGATATCACTCCCTGCCACCGACCAATCACGTTCCTGTCCCATACCCTATATCGTACCTCGGAACTAACGTCCTGCTATTGCTGTCACCCGCGTTATGAATATGGTGACCTCCCCCTTCTAACGCCTCTTATCGGATCTTATCAACTGATATCACTTCCTGTCACCCACCAATAGTGTTCCCGTCACACCGCCTACATCACTTCTTGAAATCAATGTCTCACTGCTACTGGGACCGGCGCTATGAATTTCGTGACACACAGACAGACGCACACACAAACATACACACACACAGACATACTTGGCGACTTGTATATAGTAGGATGAAACATACCAGTGTCGTCTGAGAGCCCAGGCTCCGACAATCGCTAGAAGAAAACAGAGCGTAGCTGAAGCAGCCACGATAATCAATGTGTAGTCGCATTTCTGCCCTCTAAATAGCTTCATATCAGGAGTTATTTATCGGATTGTCATTGTATTTACAAGACTGAAAACATTTCAGGGACCTTTTTTGTTTTTTTTTCTGTATGCTTACACTGAACACTTCCAAGATCATTCGCAGAATAGAAGTGGCATTTCCAGCAGCGTTACTATCAACTAACGTGAGGCCTTTGTCAACAAACCTTTGGTGGAGGAAATGTATGTGGGGGACCCGCTAAAGTTTGAAAGTAGATTTTTCAGAGGAATTTTTCAAGTGAACGTAGGTAAGGAAAAACTCGGAAAAGGAGAAAACTTCGAGAAAATCGTAGTTTCAGTCTTGCTACTCCACAGTCTTCTTCCTTAGAAGGCGAACCTTGCGGAAGCTAGCTAGCGTTTTAGGGTACTTCGCTAGCTATTTAGGTACTTGTCCACCGTGAGGACTTCCTTCTCTTTCCTTATTTCTTCCTCCTTAAATTGTAATTTCTTGTGCCAAAGAGGTTGGTAGGTGGAAGACTTTATTATAAATGGCCTGAAGTTTCGACAGGATCGTCGTGCGGAACGATGCCACTCGCTGTTAGTTGTTAGTTAGTAAGTCATAGTCTAACAGCGAGTGGCATCGTTCCGCTCATGTGGTGGACTGGCCTCTGAGGACGACGATCCTGTCGAAACGTCAGGCCATTTATAATAAAGTCTTCCACCTACCAACCTCTTTGGCAGAACAAATTACAACTTAAAGTTCACAATAATGCCGAGTTTTATGAAGAGAGAAGCTGGACTCTTCCTCCTTACTTCTTTTCCTCCCTTCCTTCTCTCTTTCCTCCTCCTTTGCCTTCTCCCTTCAACTACTGGGCCAGTAGAAGCCATGATAACCGGCTTGCATTGCCCGCGAGATGCGCGGCAATGTAAGAGTTGCGTTACCTAATTCACACAAATTGTCTTTGGGGGAGGAAATTTGCTCCTACTCGTGGCTTGTTCTCTGGAGTAGCAATGGAATTAATTTCTAAAATTTGAACGATCAGACAACACTGCTCGTACCCAAAGACTGTGGAGTCGCAGGGCCCACCACTGCGGCAATCCACGGTAGAATTGCCACATACCCCCTCAAAGCCACATATGCATTTTAGTAGATGTAGTGGTTGGTAGGAAGATGGTTCCCTCCGCTCTCCTAACTGCACAGGGGAGGTGGAACGCTGTACAACATTGAGACTGATTTCCCTGACGCCCCGCAGTATAACAAGTTTCATAAATACCCTGGCTGCTCGGGAAAAAGAGCTTGCCGCCGAAAACATTGGACATCGTGTCATTACGTCACGCTGTATCCACAAAGTGGCTCATCGAGAGGCAAATTACCATCGACCGATGGCCAGAATGACGTTAATACTTCAGTGACGTTCTGAAAATGCATTTTATCTTAGAAACTAATAGATGGCATCAAAAAGAATAATCTCTTTTACCAAGGCGTAGCTGCTGAATAGAATGGAAAACTCATTAATCGAAATGTAATGGGATTCAAAATAAATGTATTTACATTACTCTCGTGGATTACGGTCTGTGCCACAAGGACTAAGTTGTAGCGGTCGCGGCACCCGAATACCGTTTCCCCGTTTCCAGCCCTCCCGACGCTGCACGGTCAGCTACACGCCTGATCACAGCCGAACGCGCTACTTGCCTTTGCCCTCCCACTTCTATTTCTTCTTTACTGCTGAATGCGTGTCACTCGTTGCACCTTGAGGATAGCGCTGGAGGAGTACGTGGACGACTCTTATATCGTCACCCTATTGCTTGTTTCCGCGATTTTTTAGCGAAAAGTGACTTTTAAATCTATTCACGTAGCGTATGGCAAGGACTAAGCGAGGACATCTACGGATGTACAGTTCGTCTTCTGGAAGGAATGGGCATGATGCCTGAAGGCGGTCGGTTGCTGTCAACGTCACTGGTGGAAGGACTGAGGGCTGTGGTTAAACACTCTCTCGCAGCCCGCTTCCTACCAGTGCGTTAAACAAAAACCGCGCGCCCCCATGCTTCAGTTGTAAACAAGGGTATGCGTATTTTTCAGCAACGCAAGCCATTCTTGAAAAGCAGAACCAGTCTTGCTGCGAACGCTAGGTTTAGGGAGGCACCGGCAACTTCTCCACCATTACTTGGAATGGGTCGAGCCACAAAAATTGGTGCAAAACAGAGTGCCGCCGCGCTAAACACAGCCCCCCCCCCCCCTTGGCACGCACTTAAGTCTGGCCAACAAATGAACGCGTTGTAGTGACTCCAAAACGTTCAAAACTATGTGTCCGTTTTGATTCAGAAATTTCCTCTCCAAGAAAGCAATATTTTTTCGATCTTAGATGCCGTCAAGCTGACGGTAGCTTAGGAGGTTGGAGGGCAGAACAACTCACAATATCGAAGCAACCGGTTCCGGTTTTGAGCCCGTCGCAATTCGTGATCATCGTCGGAGCCATGTTAGCGAAAGGTCTCACCTGAATGTAGGAAGATGTTATGAATGGTAGATTTTGCCTATGCTCATCGAGCTGCGTGTTTCCACCTTAGGAATGGCGGGATGGGATGTGATTTTGGGTGCTACTTGACTTACTGGCTGGCGAAAAGCAGATGAAAGCGTTAACTGGTACCAATTAAGGTCTATCCCCCTCAACACAGAATAGTCATCTAAAGTCAGGATCTCCAGAACGGCAGAAGAGGGGCCAATTTTAGGTCCTGGCTACGCCAAGCCGCGTGCTCATAAGTGAGCATAACAAGAATAATCTTCAGCAAAAATTACCACATCTCTATCTTTGTCGACGAAAAATGCTGAGTAAAAAGGTATCCGTTCGGCAAGATCGTCCAACATTACCGTTCCACTACCAATTCCAGCGTTTGAAACCATTCCTGCAACAACCGTCTTCTATTTCGAAAGGAAGGACAGCTTTTTCAAACCCAGAGTGACCTGAATGACTTGCTGCCTACCTGAAATTGTGATCCTTCTCATAGTGTTCCACATCAATTTACCGTCACTGAGCGCAGAAAATTGTCTTGTCCGATTCAGTACTCGTCGCCCAGCAGTCGCGAACATTTTCAGCGAATCAAACAAGGCGATATAGCCGTAGATGTTCGTCTAAGGAACAGGTTTTTATTGAACGATAGATTAGTAACACTTCTACAGTTTAATTAACTATCTTATGGTGAAAACTTTTCTTTATTTTTTTCTAATTTTTAAGCGTTCTTCACTTACGAGTGATATGTCTTCTTCTTTAAGACCGACTGTGCTTAGCCTTTCTATAAAAGGAACTATCATACGGTTGTCGAACCCATTCGTGTCATCAATCTGAAATAACCGATTGAATTTTTGCAACTACAGGCTTTGACTTGCCAAAAGCTTTTTCGAAGCTTGTTCTTCCCGCTATTAACAACGAAGTAATTTCATCCATCTCCCATGAGTTATTCGCTCGATAGCAGTAACTTGGAGCAAGCTCAAGTCGCGGGAATGATATTTGTCAGAGTTTTTAATTTGAAGTAATAATTTGGTCTGCTCATATTCAAACATGCGTGAAAAAAACTATTCTAAAAATATTGAGTTGGTTGATCAGAGCGGTTTTCCACTCGCTTCAGTTGTAGCATGCTGACACTTTTTTTTGCAGTAAAACACATACCAGGACACAGTTGGAATAAGTATCTTTCACTTTCTTCAGACTGGAACTGTCACTGCCAACGAACGGCGATGCACCATTGGCGCCTTCTTGAAGCCACGGGAAGATGAAGACGTATTCTGCTTCAGTCAACCCATCCTTCGCAGCCGCCTCGCGGAACGCCGCTGTTAGATCTCGAGTGGAAGAGAACATCACAATCACAACTGCAAAAAAATAGAAGGAACTATTTGTGAATTCTTATGAGAAAATCTGTTCTTTTTTGGGCACCATACCCATGGATTCCTTTAAAAAACTCTAGCCCTACGGCTGAGAGAGCATCGTAAACTGTTGAGAAAAGGCTACTGTTCAGCT